CTCTCTCTCTCTTTCGCGCTCTCTCTTTGTCTCTCTTTCTCTCGCTCTCACTCTTTCTCTCGCACACCCTTCACCGAAATATCTGTAAAAATAAAAATAAACCGTTCTTTTTCTTCAAGCCGTTAATGCGTATTCAAATTTTGGTCTCCCGATTTCATTGCTACTGTAGTTGGGTCCAATCAGACAAAGCTAGAATGCATTGCGCCAGCAGGTGGAAGGGTTTCATGAAGAGGGCTCAGTAAGTACTCGGAATCGGCCACCGGGGCTCGAAGTGCGTTCTCTGAGCAGCGGTGCGTATCGAAGTGGTCTAGATTTTTTAGCACGACCATGAGTGAAGAGGATTATTTAGCTTAATCTTAATCGGTTTCGCGCAGAAACCAATATCCTTCAAGATAGCTGGCGATATTTTCTAACAAATGCGCTAAAAAACTTAAAAAAAATGCATATTTTAAGGAGGTTTCGCGTGGGCAAAATCGACTGGGCCCTCAATTTTCAAATCATCTTATTCTGGTGGTGGACTAAATAAAGTATATTTTCGTAATAAAGGTTTAAGTATATTTTTTTTAGAAACAAAACATGCATTTTATCAATTTCATTAAGTGCACTCGCCGTGCAGCAAGTTCTCCATAATCATTTGGACCAAGGCAAAAGTATTGAAAGAGAATCATAATTTTCGAATCATGAAAACACTGCCGCAGAAGCCACCTGCCGGAATCGCTGCCAAAAACCAATCAGCGATTCTCATTGCTCAGACATCCGCTGTAAAAATGACGACCCTCGCCTATGAAGAGCCAATCTACTATCTATTCTTTATGCGTTTCATGTTTGTATTAGGAACACTCTTGAACTCGTTTACCGTATACGTAATCCTGCGAAAATCGCCAGCCTCCATGCAGCAATACAAATACATGCTGTTGTTTTATCAGGTGGTCATTTCTGACTTGGATCCTTTCCCCCCATAAAGCGTCCCGAAAAACCGATTCTTGATGAGCCGGGTGAACGAGAAAAAAGACTAAATAAAGGGAGACCTGAAAGCTTCGTAAGTAAGTAAGTAAACTTAAGTCAGCTTAGGCTCAAAACCTCAAGGAGTTTTCGGCTCTTTCAGTTTTGGTCGATTGCTTTGAAGTATTTCTACATTCCATCGAGCCGCAACCTTTCTTCCCGACCCTGTTTCTACGACTATCCGGCTGGATGTCCGCAGTTTGCGGAATGAATGGTCTGCTGGCTTTTGTAGGTTTTGATTCGTGCTGACCTTGGTGTGATCGGGGTTGAGTTGTAAATTCGTGTCAAAAAATCGTACAGGTACCATCAGTACGAGTACCATGCAGTTTACTTCGTTGTGAAAAACGCAAAATAGCTGCTAAAAAGATGTCTTCGGCGCGAAATCGCTATTTTGGCAGGGCCGGTTTTACAGGTGGTTTTCCCCTGTAAGTAGTGTCGGACAGCACCCCAAGAAACGCACCCCGGGTGCCTTTGAAACGCACCCCGGGGGGTCTTTGAAACGCACCCGGGGTGCCTTTCAAACGCACCCCGGGGTCTGTTTGGAACGCACCCCGGGGTGCGTTTGAAAGACACCCCCTCTCCGTCGGGGGTGCATTAATAGTGTCCCCGGGTGCCTTTGAACGCACCCCGGGGTGCCTTTCGGGGTGCGTTTGGGGGTGTGTTTTGGGGTGCGTTTCGGCCCCACAGGTGGTAAAGAATCGCAAGGCAAGCCGATAAATGAAAGCTTTTTTTTGGCATAGAAATATTACAGAACCCTTATAAAACCCTTCAATATGCTATTCTTGCCTTATTTCATACTCCAGTTACATCCTATTAATTGTTATCTGTTCCATTTCTGAAAATCACGTCAATAATTTCCATAATTTTTGACAAAAGCATGAGTAAAAACATTTTAAGCCCCGATAAAGTGTGAAAATCGTACCAAAATCGTGTAAAACTACAACACAGCCTATCAAATATATCTTACTGAAAGCGGAGCCGTCGGATGGCATCAATTCTGTATAGAAAACATAGTAAAACATATCTGTAATATTTCTATGCCAAAAAAACTTTTATTTATCGGCTTGCCTTGCGATTCTTTACCACCTGTGGGGCCGAAACGCACCCCAAAACACACCCCCAAACGCACCCCGAAAGGCACCCCGGGGTGCGTTCCAGGCACCAGGGACACTATTAATGCACCCCCGACCGGAGAGGGGTGTCTTTCAACGCGCACCCCGGGGTGCGTTTCAAACAGACCCCGGGGTGCGTTTGAAAGGCACCCCGGGTGCGTTTCAAAGACCCCCCGGGGTGCGTTTCAAAGGCACCCGGGGTGCGTTGCTTGGGGTGCTGTCCGACACTACCTGTAAGGCGGCCGGCCGAACTTCTGGAGTCTTATCGTCCGACCTACGAATTCAGGGAGTTGGTGCGGCGCTATTCTTTTTGATTTGGTCTTTGCGACCACCTAGTGCCTTGTCTATCGCCATCGTCAGATTCTTCCCGTCGGTCACTTGTTACGGTGGGATGCGTTATTCATTAACCGCCGGTTTCTTAAATTGTAAGGGTTGCTTCACCAATGGGTTTCATTCAAAGTTCAGGCGATTTGTCATGCAAATCAGAAGCGTACACTTTCAAACTGTTACACAAATTCAACATTTTTTAACATGGAATTTAAGTGGTTGATGGTTTTGTAAGTTTAACCGCGCCACTCAAACAATCTGATTTTTGTAAAAACTCTTCAGCGGACAAGCAGCAAACATACCGACCTTAGTAAAAATAAGAAAAATTACGGAATTGTGGAAATCGGAGAAACTACCCGGTCATTTTCCGTATGGGTGCCGGCTTTGAAGTTCCTAATTCAATAAAAAACGTCTTCTTGTGAGCATTCGTATCATTTTTTCCTTGTCCTACTTGTCCTACAATGACCAGATTGACCGTTGAGGATCCCAACCCCACTGATCGTACTGATTTTCGTCGGACATTTTATATTCTACGACGGTCTGTTTGTGCACACATTATCCCTTGGACGGGTTGAGCTGGGTGTTGGATCAATCACAGAGGGCATTCTAGAGGTGTCATCGCGCTTAAAACGTCAACCTTTCATGATTCAGCGATACCCCGAGTACAGCTTCGTACTCGAGCGCTCGGATCTCTTTGCCGGAGATGCGGCCGGGATTTATCCATTCACTGGACTAACAATGCAGATGAATGCCTGCCTCATAGCGTTTCTGATGATATTGGAGGGGGGAATTGCGTGGTTCGTTAGTTATCGGCTAAGTTTCACCTACAAGTGCAGAATGCAGCTGATATGTTGGACACGATTTTAAGTATGTAAACTCGGGGCAACAGCTGCAACCTCGGGCTAGCTTACGTCGCCTTAAAAATTTCGGTACCTGCGGAAAATTACGTTACGAAAATTAAACACCTACGAGTTTATTCCACACCATTGCAGGGTGGCTTCATGATAGCCCACTCGTTTTGGATGTTGGACGGCCACGCGCGAATCAGCGCCCAGACGAGGCGGCTGCAAAAGAAGCTGATGAAAGCATTGATTCTTCAGGTTTGTCGTCGGATCAAGGTCGTCGTTAAATGTCTTTAGTTGGCTATCCCCTGTTTGACGCTCCTATGCCCTTGGGGCTATTCGCTCTCGTCCAGGTGACGAGGTGGATTATCGATCCAGGTATGTTTGTCGTATTTTTATCTAGATTAACGCCATCTTAGGATGCTATCATTGTAAGCGTTGGACTGAGCTAAATTAAATTTTTGAAGATGTAATTCCTTTAAGCTATCCTGAATTTTGCCTTTTGGTGCAACAGCTGCCACGCGACGATCTCATCCATTTCCATCCTATTATTTACGGACCCATATCGAAAATTCCTTGTAAATACGTTTGGTATTAGAAAGTGGGTTTCATAACGTAGGGCATACGCAAACTTTTGGCCAGGAAACAGGACACGTCGGTGGTGTTTCGCACTCCGGACCCGAATGTGATGGGGAGGCGCAAGGCGCTGGATGTGCGCAGGACCATAGAATAAATTTTGTGAAATAGCGGCTTTGGAAACACTGGTCTAAGCTAATATAGACCGCCTTCAAATTTTTTCCGAAGTTGCTTTCAAGGAGTAAAAAATGTCGAAAGCGTTTATGTTTAAGTTTCTTGAAAAATATACCGCCCCACCCGTAATTAAAATTAGAGGCAATCCGGTAATTATGTGCAGTAGGTTGGCGTCATTAGCGAAATAGGTATAACAAATAGAATGTAGTCCACCAATTCTACGACATGTTAACGTGTTGTAATTGTAATTCACAAAAATCTCCGATTTGCCGGGCCTGCCGCCTCTCCGCGTCTAGTGAGGCATTCAAATATTAACAACAAATGCGGACAAATCGATAGGAAATGACAGGCCCGCCTCGAAACTGATGTCTCATTTTGCTGCTCGACAACCACTGACTTTTTCTCGTAGAATATGAAACGACAGACTTCAATTTCACTCTCTCTCTCTCGCTCTCTCTCTTTCTCTCTCCCTCTCTCACCCTCTTTCACACTCTTTCCCTCTCGCTTCCTCTCTCTTTCCCTTTATATCTCTCTCTCTCTCTCGCTCTCTCTCGCTCTCTCTGTTTCTCTCTCCCTCTCTCTCTCTCTCTCTCTCTCTCTCTCTCGCTCTCTCGCTCTCTCCCTTTCTCTCTTCTCTCTCTCCCTCTCCACTTTCTCTCTCTCTCTTCTCTCTCTCTCTCTCTCTCTCTCTCTCTCTCTCTCTCTCTCTCTCTCTCTCTCTCTGCTTCTCGCTTTCCTCTGACTGACAAAAACCTTGTTTTAGGTGCACACCTCGTGCTCGGGGAATTCTACCAAAATCCAACGATTTCTTTAAGGAATCGTCTCCTGCTTAAATTCTACAAATAAGAATATGACAATATTTGAAACCACTTGCCCAATTTTGAGCCAAATAACGGAAGAGATGATGTGTTGCTGTTGCCTTTGAAAGTTTCTACACAAGCCTCTGAGAATCAATAATTTTGTAATAATGGCCAGGAATGAGGCCCAAGTCCAAACCGAGATGTCCATCGCGCATCACGAGATGATCAACGCGGCCTCCCAAAGAATTAGAAAATCAGAAGCGCAACTGATTTGCATGGTAGGCGACGAGCGAAGCACCGAACCACCGAACCACCGAACCACCGAAGCCTACCAGCGAACAAGACCGTTGCTTGCGAACGCAAATTTTTCCTGGAATTGCTGCCGGGGCGTTATTTGAAAGGATCTACGTGAAAAAAACGACTTCAGGTTCGTTAATTTTTAGCTTGCAAGCCTTATTTTTGAAATTAGTGTTATACAAAAACGTGTGTAACGTGTAACGTCTTGTAAATCACCATAGCTAATCGGCGCCAAATGTTATTGCATAAAAAATTTAAAGGCTCAGATTCCGGAGTTGCTATGATAACGCCGAAATGAAAATCTTTAAATTTAAGACGTTGAAAAATTTTTAGAATCTCAAAAGATTTCGGTGCCGAAATTTGTCTGATGATGAAGCCAATTTATCGATTGAAAAATATAATTAAAATGGATTTTTTTCGTAATGAAATTTTTGGTGTAATCAGATTTCAGTGTGCTGTTTTTTTGCATAATGGATCGTTCTTTGACAAAAATAACTACAAATTTTCAGCTTTATCGTGGATAAATCTGGGCTTCCGCTCCGAGAACATCAACTGATCACATTACTATTGAAACAATGGGTGAGTTTTTATGGCTTAAATATATTAATATATTCTGAAAGTGCCCATTCAAAATACCGACGCTTTATTGTGCCGAATTTCGAAATTTACATCGGAAAAACTCGATCATAGCCTTTTTTAGCAAAATGATGCGATTGCGCTCTACATCAAGCCGGCGCGCCGAAGCCTTTCTCCACCATGGTGATCCCAGCTGGATAGTGCCAGCTGGCAATTTTCTTATGATCAACTGAAGCACCATTGAAATCGTCTGGGACGACCGCTGTGGAGCATTAAAGCTGGTTCGAGAATCCCTTTATATTGGATTTTTCCACACGCTAACCTCGATCGGCCTGGCACGAAGCGACGCGCTCATTTTCAACATTTTCGAAAAATGTCCACCTTGACCAACACGTCGTCGGGACGGGACTGTTGGGCCGAAGTCACCACGGTCCCTTCTGCGTGGGTTGCTCATTTTTATATGCAAAAATCATCGAAAAATTAGCAAGAATTTTACAATACGCAAGGTCGTGCTCAGCCGCTTGAAAAAAAAACCCCGAAAAACTCGTATCTTTTTCAGCTGCGTGGAAAATGTCAAATATTGTTGGGACGCCGGGTTGCTGGGCTCAAGTTCCTCTCGGTATCGCTTACTGCGGAAAAAAAATTGTATGATCCATTTTTGAGAATTACTGCGACAACTGCCGGTTGGACACTCACGCTGTCGAACGTCCAAACTGAGAAGAAGTTTCGCCAGAACTCGAAAATTCTTGATTGATAAATAATGATCTAAATCAAACCACATATCTGAATAGAGAGAGAGAGCAAGAGAGATGGAGACAGCGAGAGAGAGAGAGAGAGAGAGAGAACGGGAGTGAGAGAGACAGAGAGAGAGAGCGAGAGAGAGAGGCAGAGAGGACTGCCACTGTTTCTATGCATTAATTTTATCCTCAAATTTTTGT